ATGGGGAGAGACAGTTATATCATTCATGGGAAATTTGGAGATCTCACTTGATTGTGAATTTAGCGCTTAATATGTTATAGGATAATGAAAGATTCTAAACTGAATCATCTGGTTCGAAGGACCCATGGTAAACATCGTTCTGAGTTACAAACTTTCACTATCACTGGAATATACATATATGTATATATGAAGAAATTTAAGACATATAAAGTAACATTTTATAGCCTGAATAGTTTTACCGAGTTTTTCATAATCACCAATATATTGTGAACTTGTCATTCACATGCACAAATGCATGAGTTGCAGATCAAACAGAAAAGAAATTAGGAAGGAACACGATCATCCCAATCGTTTGCTTCATTTAAATGAACGAATTACGCAAACACGGGCAGTCAATTTCAAGTAAAGACATTGAATAGCTAGGCGTACTCAGAATTTACAATTATGTGAAATTTTGTCAAGTCATGTTTAAAATAATCAGACGAATCATTCAGTTTAGTCTAAAAAGGATCGTAGTGGGCAATGGAACAAAATACACAATGCACACATTTTACCTAAAGGGATTACTAAGGAAGTCAATTTAGCTTCAAGAGATTACGATTTACTAATTTATATGATAATTAATTCTGTAAACTAATGAAATGTATTCCAAACTGAGTCTTACAAGTCGAATTATGCTATTATTGTTGGTCGGTTTGAAACTAAAGCATGAGACTAATAATAACTAAGTTCACTGTGCAAAAGTAACATCTTATCAGTTTTCTCAACTTTAAAATTAACTTTCATTGAACACATTCCGTAAAATTTTTTAATGTTTTGAGGTGAAAACTTTAATCTTGACTGGATTTCAAACTCATGAAAACTTGTGTATTAAACTGAATGGCTCAGTGGAAACGTCTCTGACTGCAGCACTGGGTGACGCGGGTTCGAATCTCAGAAGGGACATGAGTTCCTCCGAGGTTGCAGATACGCCTTGCTGGTGAGTGCCAACTAGCACGAAACCTAGGTCCAAGGCTTCCTGCCGATTGCCTCCAACCATATAATATCATCAAATCAATGTGCACTGTGATGTCCAGCTACCTAGAATTGCGGCCACATTGCAAAGCTGACTGATAAAATTCAGTCTGCACTAAGAAAGGACTAGAAACGTCACACTAGTTACTAGTGTCTAATCAAAACTGAAAGGATCTCAGAGGGTGTCATCGAAAATACTTCTTCGCCTTTAATATGCGCGTCGGTGGCACTCTGGCCGACCATGCACATGGTCTGAGGTTCGATCCCCTGCCGACGCACACCTGATATCTATGGTCGGTCTGCATAATTTGGGCTACCGATATCTATGCTGAAAATTCCATACTTGTACCAAAAATACAGTGTGGAATCAAGCTGTAATCAAAAATTAAAAAAATTAAATTAAGTGTGAACTCATATGAATTACTCTATTCAAAGATATTATAGATAAGTAACCGAATCATATGTTAGTGCATATTAGGACAAGGCACCTTATGCAACACCCAGCATTGACAAAAAACAAGCTCTGTAGGTTAAAAGACCCAAGTAAACAGAATAATATGATTTAAAAAATACCTTGCAATGACTTCCAGTGAGGTCAACTGCATAGGTCAAACTAGTAGACCGAGGGTAGTCAGATTGTCGGAACATAAGAATTTAGCTAGGGTAAGAATGGTTGACCCTGAGAAGATAAGTAATCTAGGAAAAAGCTCAGCAGTTGCACTGCATGCATTAACACACAATCACGTAATAGGGTGGGAGAGGGTTAAAACTCTAAGAAGTAATATAGGTAGGTGGAGAGAGATTGATTACTGAATCCTGGCTCACTGAGTCTGCACCCAACACACGCAGCAGAAATGACTCTTAAAATTCTATTTCAAATCACGCACATCATAACATTCTAACAAGTTACTTATTTTGACTATAAAAGCATCTTATTTCCCATCTGATTGTATTTGATTGATAATACTAATAGTATTCGTGCATGCACTTTATCTTATATTGATTTTATTCAAATATCTAATCATCTGTTTCACTCATGTATATAATAAATGAAGTGAAAAGTTGTATGAGTGACTTGATATGATTATGAGCAATAGTTTGTGCTCGAAACGTCATCAGTAAATATTCCTGTGTAACACCGTGTGATTTTATCAAAACAAAATCCCATCCATAATTGAGTTATACTCTACCACAGTGTCCAAGTTTTATACTTATATCAACATTACAAAAGATAAACTAATGCAAATACCAATCAGGCATCTGAAAAGTATGTGAATAATCTCTAATTCTGTGCCTGTTACTGGCATGCGAATAGATGTGCAGACATCCACCTCGTCGAACAATGCAACAATGCTAGTCAATCATATGTTCTATTTTTGCATATGAGCACACTCTTATCTTGATTAATTTCAAAGGTATCTTTTTGTATTTACATTTTTAACTAAGGTAATATTCTAAATATCTTCTTCACTACCTTCCTACTATCTATCCTGTGTATGTGAAAAATTGTAGTGTTTTAATTTAGATGGCTACATCACTTTTCTTCCAATCTGTTAAAATATTACACATGCAGTTAAACGTAGTTTTACTTTTTTAATTTTAAGCACAATAATATATTTTACACAGTGTTGTGAATATTTGAAGTCAAGTTATTTTTTGATACTTTTCTGTTTTCTACACACTCGAGTTTTCCTGTGAGGAACGCTTAACTTGATAGTCAAAATATTGCTACGAGTATTCCTTCAAGAGGGAATTTGATACTTATACTCAAAGGGGGAACTGTTTAATTTACATATGAGTAGAAATAACAGAGCTGGACAAGCATAAAATACAACATCTGAAGCTGAAGATTGAAGTTATACAATATTTCAGTATTTCAAAGGTAATACAAAGAAAGCATAACTTCTGTTTTGACATTGGGCGTACAATTAGGCAGGTTCATCATCGTATTTCCGAACATCATCCAACATGGTTAAGCAAGGGACAAACAAGATCTATTCGTAGCTCTATTGTAGCACACCTTGTAGATAGTGAGCATAAGGTTGACGTTAATACTGCATTTAAAATTATTTATCGCATTCCGACCAATCTTAATTTTGCTCTACGAGTTCGTCTTCTACACACAGCTGAAGCAATAGGAATTCACCTGAAGAAGCCAAACTTGTGTGTTTAGAAGAAATTTGTACAGCCACTTTCCTTACCTTAACCATCGTTACATGAGTGTATAAACCGGACTACTTCGCCCTCCTCCCCCTAAACATTAAAAAATTATAGTTGTCCAAATTATTTTATTTATTTTTTTCTGACCACTTTATCTTCAATTACGTGTTATCCTTGTAAAATTAATTTATTCCAACCATCTCTACCTTTTAAATGTGTATTGATTTTCTTCGTTAACTATCAACCCACTGACATTTTGGCATTGACTAATTACTGTTATCAAATATATCAGTGCCACTTGATTGGTAAATAACTGTTGTATTGTAATTGAAATGCTATATATATTAGAGAAGAGCCAGATATGAGGATCTAATTGAAAAGTAAATATTTCTTCACTCAATCTTTCTGTTTTCTAAATTCCAATTAATCTTGCTTATGAAAAAATCACATTAAGCACTTTCTAATATTTACAAAAAATCCAATAAGTGACAGATATATTCATAGGCTGTGGAAATTGAGCTTCTCATTTTACATCAGTGACCTCCGGCTTTTTCTCCTCTCACTTCAGCATTTTATTACAGAACATTATCGTATTTTGGGACAGTTAGTCTAAGAAATGTCGAAGATTTAAACTAAATTTACTAATTATTGAATTGAATTTTTGATTTTCCCGTCGATTGATTGGACCGAAGTGTTCGGTCTCAGGTTGACATGTCGGCTTCTTGTGCAGATGCTTCGACGATGTCTGGGGATTTGATTTGTATACAATTGGTGGATGCTAGCCACCATCCACCAATTGTATATAAATTTACTAATCATTACTTTTGATTCATTATTAAGATAGATTGAGAGAAAAAGCCGACAGAGACAGAAACGAATAGCAGTAATATAATAGAAAGCCAGGAAAAGTTTTACCTAATATCGAACACTAAAACGTCTTTCAATCTTCGAGCAGTTTACCATACTGCAACTGGATCACAGCAAGATGGATTATAGTTTCAAATTTCTGTCACTTCTCAAAGCAGCATCAGTGGTATCTAACTGTAAATCTTGACAGTCATTAACTAATGAATATACACCTAGTGGTTAAATTCTGTCCCATTATTTTTTGTATGATAAGAATCAATAGTTGCATTCTTAACAAGGTGGTAGAAGCCCACTGATGAAGACACACAAAACAGTACATAGGATCCACAGATGGTTCCTAGTTTTCACTACTTTCCTCAGAAACATTGGTTTGTGATAATGTCTACCTTGAAACTAAATGACTGTTATTAAGCTTAGCCGTACTTCAGCTGCATGTATATATATATATATGCAATATATTATATTTATCTAATTCTGTTAACTTGTATTATAAGGTAACCATCAGTCAGTGTCCACGGATCCCGCTTAATTAATCCCACTACTAGTTACTTCTAATTAGAATTTCAGTGACTCCACTTTGTAACTGATGAGAAGTAGGTTGCAATCCCACTGAAATATTTATAGCCAATTAATTAACTTTAAAATTATGTTTACTACAATACTAACTTATTCAATAAACCAATGAAAATCTAAAACGATTGAACAAGTGATTGAGACTGGTTAAGTGTTGTAGAGTGCTAATATTTTTTATAGATTTCACTGAAATCAAGCAAATAAATATAAAACTTATAGTTCAGTATGTATTATATCCTGTCAACAACACATATCCTTCACCACATGTCTCGTTTAGAAATCAATTAGGTATTAAACACACACACACCCCACACACATATAAGAATACGATTATATGTGTTAAAATTCTACAGTTAAACCCAAAGATTAATTAACAGTTAGCTTACCAAGCATGTGTTTTCTTCAATTTCAATCGACAAAGATGGTATAGTCTCATTAAATTGTATTAGTACACCACTGTCACTTAATAATGACAACTGTTCTAGTATATTTCGCATATTTCGACAATTCACCTTCAATCGTTGTATTGCCACTTCACTGGATAATTGAAGGAAGACTAACTGGTCTTTTGGCATGTGATATTCAATTTGCTGAATAAAGTTCAATTTTCGGAAGTTTGAAAAGATAAGAAATTAGGACGATAGATAAGAAGTGAAGAAGTAAATATTACTTAAGTCGAATATCGATAGAGAAAATATTGGAACACTGATTTTAAGATTTGTAGTGATGAAAATGATTCATGAAATAAGATTGTTGAAAACACCTTATAAATACTGAAGGTAGATAGACAATTCAAACTTGAACCTAAGTAAGTGGTAGTAGTTGCCTTTCAGTAAGTGGTCTACTTTTGTCTGCCAAAGTTTCTAGCATGCGAAAATTAAAATGTTACTATACATTGGTCACCTGAATCTCAAATTTCTTGTCCTCGTTGAAGCTTCCATAATGGGTGTTAACACGTCAACGAAGACCCAGTACTTTGGTTCAATATCAATCAGCAGACTAGAAATTTAAATTAATTCCATAAAAATTTTCATAGAAACTAGTACCTCTTGCATAATAAGTGATTATCATAACTCGTTAGCCTAATGAATAAGGCCTTCTTGTTTGAATCGATGGGTGTTGAGTATTAATCTTGGTGTGAACACCCTCACTGTCTGGAAAAGAGGTACGTCCAAATGATGAGTCGCAAATAGAACGAAATGTGCCTCTAGGATCCCATTCTAAGGCACCATCAACCAAACAACATGAATATAAAAACAATAAAGTTCAGTGAAGAGTCTCTTTTCGGCGAATTCATTCAATTACCTGTACATTTGCATTTATTGATATGTATCCACATGTATATATTTATGTGTGTGTGTGTATGTTGGTCTCTCTTTCTGTTTGCTCTCTTAGTCTGGGACCATTTCACTGGTATGAACTTGTCTCCTTTAACAATGTATATTCTCCTTATATTATATTATATATAATATGAGTGTTTGTTGACAGTCCGTTGCTTGGTGACATATATCCATATATGGTTGTTGACATGTCTGCTATATTCGCTATGTATATTTGGATCGACACTCCATTATAATTAGCCATTCATGTTAAGACTGTCTAATGATTTTTCCCATGCTTTGTCTGGAACATTCATATATATTTCGCATTCACATTTTTGTGAACTACTTTACTTACTTACCACTTTGGTGTGAGACCACTTGTTTTCGTCTCCTTGTGTTTGGACAATAGAAGTATCATCGCAAACCTAGTGGTCTTCTGATTTCCGCCTTCTCGCGTCAGGACTATTAGTTTCTCGACCAGACCATAACAATAATTTAGCGACGAGTACATAACAAATATAATAATTTTCTGTGTGTGTACGTTTACATTAGGATTGTCAAATAATAATAAAAGTTAGTTATTGTTTTGCTTCATCAAAATGTTTCAAAAATGTGGTAAATAATCAAACTGTAGCAGTGGATCAATAAGGTGTGCTATAATCGGACATATATTCAACACCACTCACTCAATGTGTAAGGAGAATTCATTCAAAGTCATCTACAAAGTCAAAATAAGCCTCCCGAAAACGGTTGGCTTCCATATACTGTGCACTACTCAGGCCTTAGTGATCTGGATTGAAAACCCGGATTTATGTACACAGAAGAAACTTCTCCACCCCCTCCTTCTATCTTGGCTATAATTTCAAGTTCTACGACTTTGTTAATAATGCTTTCTCTCTTTTGAATGATTGTATGGCATCTTATTAATACATTCTTCTTAACTAACTCCTTATTTACTCTTTCCACCTATTGCATAATTTGTTTTTTTGGACACCTGTCTTCATTATTACCCTATTTCATATTATTCAACCCTTTTCAATAATTACCAATCCTCACCCCCCTCCTCTAGCTACAATTTTGGTTATTCATCACAGTTTAGAGACATTTTGATGATGTTAACTGTAACCGTAACTAACTTTTATTTTTTATTTAAAGAAATTGAAAGCAAACCTCAGGAGTCGTTATCATGGATAAATCCGATTACCTTAGCGAAACGGAGACTTTATTAAGGGATGCATGCAAATTTCAGAAATTAACAACCGACAAAGATACGACGAAGAGGACTGAGAGACAGTTGACAGAGTCTTTAAAAAAGTTCAAACAACAAGGCCATATTTCACCTGCCTTGTATGAAACACTAAAACCTGTAGGCACGTTGATACTTAGATTAAACGGTTTACCAAAGATTCACAAAAACGAATTGCCACTTAGACCAGTCCTTGATATGTCTAGCTCACCATACCATTCAACTGCGAAGTGGCTGGTGAAACGTTTACAGCCATTGCATAAGAAACTTATAAAAAATAGCGTAAAAGATAGTTTTGAGTTTGTAGAAAGAATCAAAGAATTAAATGTGAAGGAGGAATATATAATATCACTGCATGCATCTTCCTTATTCACCTATGTGCCTTTGATGAAAACAATTGATTACATAGGTAGTGAATTGATGAAGCCAGGCATAGAGATCGGAATTCCTGTGTCTTCCCTAAAGGAACTTCTATTAAGTTGTACAATGAACTTAAGTTCCCTGTTCAATAAAGAAATCTATAGACAATCAGATGATGTTGCCATGGAATCACCACTAGGCCTAATCCTGGCAGATTTTTTCTTAGCGAAAGTAGAGAGTGGTTCACTTAAAGATGTAACATAATCTTGATTTCTATTGATGATACGTTTATAACTGTTAAGAAAAAGTGAGGTTAAGGACATATTGGATAAATTCAGTAGAGCACATCCCAACATAAGCTTCACTACGGAAGAATAAAATGACTCTATCCCCTTTGGGACGTCCTAATGACTAAACGAACAGACAGAGTAATATGTAGAAGTTTGTACAGAAAACCTACTTCCACTAGATAATAAACTCACTTACTGAGCTTCGTGCCTCTACAATACAAACGTAATCTGGTTAGACTTCTGGTTCACCGGGCTAGAGTTATCTGTTCGAATGAAGCACTGGACGAAAAACTCGGTAATATTCGCGATCTACTAAATAGAAACGGATATCCAACTAAATTCGTAAACAAACACATGAACTCAGAAAGTAAAAAAGTCGAAGGTGCTGACTGTTTCCAAAACATCAGTCTTCTCAAGATTACAATTCACGGGTGATGTCAATAGTGAGATAGTGTCACAACGACTGCGAATGGCCTTCAAAGGACTTTCAAGGCAGCTAAGCTATGCTCTATATTCACTAGGCAACGGAAACTTAGTTCAAAAAATAAAGACGAACTTCCCTATTTGCCTCTTCATGTGTATTACCAGTTTAACTGCCCATGAGGAGCTAGTTACATTGGGTGTACGATCAGGCAAGTTCATCGTCGAATCTCTAAACACTTACCATTCTGCTTTAGAAAAGGTCCGAATAAAGCTATATACAGATCAATACTAGCTCATCTCGTCGATACTGGACATCAAGTTGATCCACTCCAACAAAGCTCTTAAAGTTATTTATCGTATATCACCCAATCTCTCGCTTCATGGTCTAAGAGTACGACTTTTACATACAACAGCTGCATGCGGAATTCATCTGAACAAGCCAAATCTGTACTTGCGTTCAAAAGAAATTTCTACAGCCTCTTTTTTGACCATGGCCAACTACATAATATGTATTAATACTATTTAAAATGGCTTTACCTTTCCTCTCCCCTTGTAACTATCTTTTCACTTTGTTCATTTTTAACCTTTTCACTATTAACTTGTTTGTATTTTACGTAACTTTGCTGAGTCATCCTATTCTTCTTAGTTATCATTGGTACTTTGCAGATTTCTTGATCATGTAATAACTTGTTGCTAACACCTAAAAATCAACTTATCTTGAATTGCGTAATTGATTAGTTTTCACTCCTCCTTCAAAAATTAGATATCTTGTTACTAACTGACATCTACTAGGTAATTGTTTTCATGACCTTTAACCTCTGCACTTCACACAGCTATACGCAAAACTGATTAACTAAAATAACCACTTGATTGGTGGGACATTTTGATAGAAAAAACTATTTTTCAGTGTAGAGCCAGCCAGCCAGCCGGTGATGAGGAACTAATTGAAAAGGAATGCATATTTCTCCTCTCAATCTGTTGTTTTTTCAAATGTGTAAATGGGAATTAGGAAATTGCTTTCATTTTTGCTTGACAATTCTAATGTACACACACACAAAATGATTATATATAAATGCGATTGTACAGGTAATTAAATGAATTCGCCGGAAAAAGAACCTTCGCTGAACTTTGTTTTTCTTATACTGTTGTCTGGATGGATATTTTCTGTCAAACAGCACGACTCATATTGATAACAATGAAAATTATGTTACAGGATTTTATCACGAGCTGATATTGGTTAAAGACCATTGGAAAATCTGGGATTGCTGGACAGCTGTTTCGTCCTAGTTTGGGAATCTTCATCAGTACGCACCCACCAGGGGTCGAACCCAGGACCTTCTGGTTACAAAGCGAGCTTTGAAAATCTTGGACAAGAGGAAATTATATCTAATATGACAGGGGAGAAAAAGGCTTAAGTCAAGACTGCCTATGATGTCGAACGCAATTTTTACAAGCGTTTCATTGTATATTCACGTGTCGTCTAATTATACTCAGTCAAACAAAGATGAATACACAAAAGATCAAGGGAAAACATGTTAAATAATCAATTAAAGCAATTAATACAGTATTCTTTTTTGTAATAGACTTACAGCATTCTCCGATTTCATTAAGTATTCAGAATACCATAAATGTTTCGCCTTTGATTGTGGTGACATATAAACTGATGGCATTTGTTCCGTAACTGGGCTTACACAAGTTTCCAATCCACTTAAACGACAGTAGACACTAATTCCATCTCTCCAATGACCACCGTTTGGATCCACATAATAAATACCTGGATTGACAACATGTTTATAGAAACTTTAAATAAATAATTTTAATCATAATGTGATTATTTCTTTATTATTTTACTTGAAGTTATAGCAGTCTGATAACATAAAGTCTTTCAGAAGTAAATCTGCAGTGAAGTTGAAATCACTATCTATACGAAACATTTTGCCAGCACTTCATAGGTTTTAATAGTCATTGACAGTATGTAACGCGAATTCTACTTTCATTTGAAACTTAGTTAACGTGAGTGCTGATTACTCGTAGGATCGTAACATGATTCAAATTAATTCAGTGGAGAACAATAAATAAAAAGTGTAATCTGATAGCTTTTCAGTCAATTTAAATAACCCAAAGACATACTCGTGCGTCGGTGGCACAGCGGTTAAGACGCTCGCCAACCATGCACATGGCCCGGGGTTCGATCCCCGACCGACGAACTCCTTTACCTCGTTAAACCAGAAATAATGCTGGTGAAGAGGAAAGGTTGGGCGTGAGGCTAGCAACCCAATCCTGTAAAATAAACACTGCTACAGAAACTTCAAGCCACTAGTTTGAAGCCCTATGTTCCACTGGGAACGTGAAGGAAATAAAAAAAGACATACTCGATACCGCTAACCGGAATTCGTCACCATTTATACGGTTCACATACAGAGAAACAAATATTAATCCAATAGTGATTCGCCACTATTGAGGACTGTAAGTCTGTGGAAATGATGCATGATAGTTGGCTGATATAATACATGTATAACCTTTATAAAGGATGAAAGCTTTCCTAGGAAAGATATGAAAGCATTAAGCGTAGCTCGTAAACAATAAAAATGAGTAATTCTTAACTTTGGGAAAGTATAATTAAAAAAGACAGTTGTAAAACCTTTGAGTAAATAAAGAAACATGTAAATAAAGTCATTTGATAACATCAAAAACTAATTTAATGTAAATTCAACAAAAATCAATTTTTCTCTGACCTAAAATAGGAACATAATAAAAGAAAAAATTAAGATCTAAAGGTAGACAGTAAATTACCAAGGAAGATTTAGCGGAAAAAGAATTAGCTACGCACCTACCAATACTACTATAATGTGTCGTCCTGGTTCGGGACTCTTCATCAGTATTCATCCATCGGAGTTAGAATCCAGGACCTTCCGGTTACAAGGCGAAGTGGTCGACCATTAGGCCACTGGAACCCAGTCCAATGGCCTGTGAATTCCAACTTCTGCCAATCCACGATATAGCACGACCACTGGCCAATGTCATCAGCGAGTATATGTCCTCATCCGACTTGGCGGCCTGCTTAAATCACTGCGCTACCGAAACTGCTTCCACAAAAATGTACAATTTCATCTGGATTTGTCACTGTTTTAATATTCCAGTTAAATAAAGTGATCTATATGTGAATTTTCGCACTGATTTAACTTGCTTCCAAGTAAACGCTGTTCAGTTCTTCAACGAAATGAAAATGTACTTCAGATCAAAACTTTACATGTAAATCCTGTACGAAAAAAGTATTTTGGAGCCAAATACACTGAAAACTTTTGTACCATATGTTCGCATATTGTCTCAGATAAAGCTCTATTATCATTACCACACTGGTAGCAATTTCTCACTAGAACCCAGGTAACTACCTACCTGAATAGGACCAGTCGCCAGTGAGCATCAGGTTGGAATTTATTAGCCATTGGATTGGGTCCAGGGGTTTAATGGTCTGCCAACTCACTTTGTAACCGGGAAGTCCTGGGTTCTAATGCCCATGGGTGCGTACTGTGAAGAGTCCCAAAGCAAGACGAAGTAACTGTTCAGTACTCCCAGGTTTTTCTGTGGTTCCCTGATCGATGTTAACGTATGATGAAATCTTCAAACCAACATTAGAATACTATAATGATCATATTTTTCTAGGCAACACATGACTGGACTCTTCGAAAAAGGAACTATGAATACATTACAGGCACGTAGGATGATGTTCTTCAACACAAGTTGATCGATATCTTTTAGTGCGTTAGGTGTATCTGTTACCTATAAATATTTATGAATTGGTATACATAACCATCATTTTACGAGTCATTTTCACTATACTTGCACTTGAATTTATAAATAAAACCGAGGTTTTGTAAACAAAGATACTTCTCAAAGTCTTCACTGAATAACATTTATTCGATTGACAGTAAGTATACTTCCTGTACGACAATTTAATATAAGTGTGCTTCTTAGGAAGTTAAGCAGACATTTCTTTTCATTTAAAAAAAATTAAAATGACTGTTAATAAATTCCTAAGGATATCCAGTTTCCATCAGCATTTTCTTCAAGAACTAATGTCCTGAAAATCAACCTGCCAATCAGATAAATTCTTCTCACTTAGTCATATGATTTTTCACTGGTATCTTTTCACCCTGATATGTCTGGCGGCCCGCTTAAAACATGGGCTACCGGAAACCTCCATCAATGTATTGCGTATAGTTACTCTTATTTAGTATGTTTAAATCTGGTAAAAGATGACCTCAAATAGTACTGTTTACTCTGGTTAGTATTTAAAACATTTACATCCTGGTAGCTTATCCCGATATGTGGGATGACTGTTCCTAAGTGATGTGTTCGGTTCATAAAATGTACTCCTGGATTTTTTATAATTGGCATTCAAAAAATTTCGTATATTTCTCGAAGAGGAAAAGAAGAGATATCATCATAATGGATCGGTTTGCACTCCAGGTCAGATCAAACTGTGCCACATGACCTATTATCAATTATTTGAAAATCTTAGACAAGAGGAAATATCATACAGTAAACTCCACTGAAAATGCTGTACATTATACTATGGTGATAGCAGGCTGCTAACCAATTGGTAGACATTAATTTACGTCAATGTCTATGTCGCTAATATTGGCCGTGAGAAAATATGAACAAGACTGATTCAACAACCAATCACAGCAGACTTAACGTGGGCAAGTAGGATTCGCAGATATATGGCTTAACTTTCTGAGAAACCAGTCACAGGCAGTACAGAATAACCTTGAGCAAGAAACAACCAGTCAGAAGACTGCGTTTGTTTGCTTGAATAAGCTATAATAATGTACATGAAATGTATATAAATAAGTGCTGATTTCCTTAATAAACGATCTGTTGCCTGGCCCTTGTCTTCTGTTGTTACAATACGACCACTACTCAGAATAAAGCTGTTCTTGTTATTATTAACTAAGTAAAGACTTTTAAGATAGGAGAATCAGGTTGTTAGTTTGGTTACCTTTTTCTTTTTTGCGTCAGGTAAAATTTATAATAAGCCTTATTTTAATGAATGAATTGTATATTGCACTCAAGTTATTTCGTATGAATTGTATGCTCTGTCGTAAACTTGATGCCAGTTTTGACATTTCCTAATACAAACTTTTAAATGTATTCATGTTTATTTGTGGGTTATAGTGATTAACTCATATCGTGACATTTTTCTGCTATTACATATGTAAATGCAGGTTGTGCTATTAGAATACTTTACTTGTCTAGCATATTATTTCATTGACAATCAAAATGGATCTATGCATTACATATGGAGTTATTTTCTTTGCTATGACCTACTGAGTTTAGGTGATAACTGCTTTTCATCATAGTTAATCTGGTTTTAAAACGTGGTAGTGTTTGACGTATTTAAGATTAAGTGATTACTTACTTGTACGTGGCTCAGACTCAAATGTATCCACTTGACAAGTTAGAAATGAGAGAAAATGCTCATTTTTAAGTTTACTCCTCTAGTTATTAACAAGCAAAAATATCAAAATGAGACTATAGTCAAGCCATTTTTCATGATAATATTGTATAATTATACACTAAGAGATACTGATTTTCAGGTTAAGAAATTTTCTAACACAAAATATTTCAAGTGGTATCACTGCCATTAAATCATTCAGAACTAAATCGATCAGAACAATATGAGTAAATAATACTTATTGTGTACAAAAAATCACATAGAGTGACGAAGACTCGGAATGTAGGATTACCAGATATTGACTAACTTCAATACATCAACAAATTGTAGGTGAGTGCTAAATAAATATCGCGCCAAGACGAAGAAAATCCATTCGTCTCTCTTTTTGGATGTGTAACATTCAAAAACTTGTATTTTTAAAAATCCCAAGTATCGTCAGTTACTTATTTGTTTATGTAATGACTGGAAATATCATGTTTCGTTTATTCTTAGGTATAGGCAGATGTGGTAGGGATAATACAGATGAATGAGTGATTTTCATTGGTACATCAAGAACGCCAGACAGAATTAACTTGGTTTAATTGGATTTTTGATTTTCCCGTCGATTGATTGGACCGAAGTGCTCGGTGTCACGTTGACATGTCGGCTTCTTGTGCATATGCTTCGACGATGTCTGCGCATTTAATCAGTATTTAATTAGTGGATGGCATCCTGGATTCCACTGCTAGTCACTATCCACCAATTAAATACTGATTAAATGCGCAGACATCGTCGAAGCATATGCACAAGAAGCCGACATGTCAACGTGACACCGAGCACTTCGGTCCAATCAATCGACGGGAAATTAAATTAATATGACCCGTTGCACAAGAGGTGTCTCTCGTGGCCCAAGTGGTCTAGTGGATAACGCTTTGACTAGTGTTTGAAACTATGGGCACTGGGTTCGAGCCTGGGTGGGAACATCATCACTCACTGAGAAATGCAGGTACATCCAGCTGACGAGTCCCAAATAGGACGAAATGCGCATCCTGGATTCCACTGCTGGTCACCATCCACCAATTAAATAAGAATTAACTTGGGATAAAGATGGTGATTATGACTCACTTGACAGCCACCTACTGAAATGTTAAATTAACAAGATAAAAGTCTGCAGTTTGGCTTTATTTTGCTTTCTCTATTTGTATATTACATTGAAATCCTTTAGTGCTAATAACGAATAATTTTAATGTAACGGTGATGATTTATTTATTGAGTGAAAATTCCAGCTACAATAAGCCTCGGAACAGTGGACTCCAGGATACTAGCCCGGAGCTTAA